TTAGTTCTTATTAACCGAGCGGGAGGTCTGTATGGGAGAATCTTGACCGAGGTCGCCAGTACAGACCGAACGCAGTGAGGTCTGTACCAGCGACCGAGGTCAAGATTCTCCCATACAGACCGACCTAGCTCGGTTAATAAGATGTTTATTATATGGCTGTGTCTTATATGCCAATTTTTTATATTCTTTGTACCTTTTTTTTCTAGACCGGTCTAGATGCCGGTCTAGATGGGAAAATCTAGACCGCTTTCAATATTGATTTCAGCCAATCAAATTCGTGAATTCGGTAGTTCCCAGTCGTTGTGAGACACAGCCTTCTAATAATTATTAATAATATTTATTCTTTTTATCGTCTTTCTCTCCCTAGATCTCACTAGTGATTCTTCTTACTGTCTTCTGTACATTTCTCATGTTCTGTTAATTTGATGTTAGATCAAGTTGTTATTCCCCAATTGATATTTTTATTTATTTTTTTAACACTTGTCTGCTAGGTGTTGCATTTATATTGTAAGGGAAAATTATAACCAGCTCATTTCTTCATTCTACAGGAGTTACAAGATGGTCAACTTTTCCTGGGTGAGGGATCTTCTCCGAAGCACCAGTCAAAGGGAAAATCGAGACGGAAGAAATAGGTTACTTAACAAGACAATTCAAACTAGCGATAATCGAGTCACGCAACTATCTACGAAATCACGAAACATCGCGTGACGTCACGACAAGGAGAAACAAGCCTTGGACTCAATTCATGATTCAGTTATTGGCGGAGAAAAAGGTTGCTTAGGCTAGCGAGAGAGAGAGAGAGAGAGAGAGAGAAAGAGAGAGGCTATTACAACTTCTTCGTGATTGGGGAAAATCTCAGAATTTTTCGTTAAGAAAGCATAGACGATATCTCTGTAGATTTGGTGGACTTAAATAGGAGTCTTTTTGACAAAAGTTGGACAATACCTACCCGAAGCTGTACAGCGCAAGCTTTATCCTGCAGTTTCCTGGGTAAACCCGTTGCCACGAATCTATCCCCATTTCCCGCGCATAGGCGTGCGTTTTCCATGCTACCAGCCTGCGCCTGGGCACTGGACATCAACCTCGTTTCGAAGAGTTTCCCAGTCAGTGTTTTCAAGATGGCGGCTGGTTTTCAAGATGAAAAAAATGTGGAACGAGGTTGATGTGACGTAAGGTATCGTCGTTGCATCGATCTTCTAAGTCGCAAAACCGCGCATAATTATCATCTGACAATCAGTAAACTCTTATACAAAACGTGATGTTTTAGTAATATTTTAATTCAATTTGTACCTGGGTTTACTCGCAACACGAGCTGTTTTTGATGTGTAAATTTGGCTCTAATAAAGATAATTAACAGCCAGTCAAAGAACACATGGCTTTGCCCACATGAAAGCCTATGAATTGTGATCTTTTCCTCTGTTTTACTTAATTTTGGTCACTGGTTTGGAGAAAAGAGACTGCAAAATATCTTTGGTTGATAAAAATAAAGTGGATTTTCGGTTTTTGCTTGCTGCAGTAGACTAGGACCAGTCCCTCCTTTCCGGCGACGGAAGTCCATCGCGCAAGTCAAAAAATTCGGTAGAAAAAAAAAACGCGCGCGTCGGCCTCGTTCCAAAGATTTCCCGGGAAAGCCTACAAATCGATGATTAGAACCTATATATTTCAGGTTGTATGTCAAGTGACATAGTTATGTGGCCTAATTGCAAACCTATATTTTACCTCAACCTATAGAAACCATCTATATGCGATTTATTTGTGTGATTCTTATTTGTGTGCCGATATGTGATATTTTCAATCAATCTATTAGCCAAYGGACGTTCCCAGACGACTGGAAATATGCAAGGATTACCCCTCTTTATAAACAGGGTGACCGCGGTGATGCTAACAATTACCGCCCAATATCGGTGATTCCAATAATGGCGAAGGTGTTTGAAAGGATAGTTTATGAACAGTTATATGCCTATTTGGAAGAGCACGATATTCTATGTCAAAACCAATCAGGGTTTCGTGCTAATCATTCAACTGTAACAGCTTTGTTGGAAGCGACAGATTCTTGGGCATATAATATTGATAACGAGAAAATCAATGGAGTCATTTTTCTAGATTTGAAAAAAGCTTTTGACACTGTTGATCATCAGATCCTTCTATCGAAACTAAACTATTATGGTATACATGGAAAATCTTTCTGATGGTTTCAGTCATATTTGGAAAACCGAACACTGCTCTGTCAACGGGTTGCTATCCAGTAGCTACTAGTTGACTTGCGGCGTCCCTCAAGGGACCGTCATCGGTCCATTATTGTTCTTATTATATATCAACGATCTTCCAAATTGCTTATCAAATTGTAAACCGAGAATGTATGCCGATGACACGCACCTCACATATGCGGGAAGCAATCTTGAGAACGTTCAGTTTTGTCTAAATGAAGACCTAGAAAACGTCTTCAACTGGCTACAAGCGAACAAACTCACGTTGAATATGACTAAAACCGAATTCATGCTAATAGGGTCGAGGCAGAGACTGAATACTCTCACAGCTTCACCAACAATTAGAATGAACAATACTCAAGTGAGCCAGGTTACAGCTACAAAATCGCTTGGTGTAATAATAGACGATAAACTCGATTGGCATAGTCACATCGAAAAACTAACGAAAAAGATCGCCTCTGGTATCGGGGCCCTAAAGCGAATTAGGCACCTGATCCCAGCATCAACCTTGCATCTCATCTACCAAGCTTTAGTAAAACCTCACTTTGATTACTGTGACATTGTTTGGGGTAGCTGTGGGAAAACGCTACGAGACAAACTGCAGATGTTGCAGAATAGAGCAGCCCTTGTGTTGACATTCTCTAACTATGATGCTGATGCAACTGAGCTACTCGAGTTTTTAGGGTGGAAAAATCTTGCACGCCAGCAGGAAATCCATAAAGCCACCATGATGTTTAGATGTCTGCACGGGCTAGCTCCAAGGTATCTATATTCAAAGTTTACGTGGCGTGACTCTGCTTATGACCTCAGGGACTCTGAAAATAAGCTTAATGTTCCACTACCGCGCACTAATTATTACAGAAAAAGCTTTAGCTACAATGGCGCCTCATTATGGAACAGTTTACCACGCGATATAAGGACCACAGAGTCTCTGGGGTTATTTAAACGTAAGATCAATGACATTCTTTAAGTCTAACGCACGGCATTCACGGAAAACAGCTTTAGTGCTATAGTATGTAGTTTTAATTTTAAATATCTTAGCGTATGTGATATGTATTTTTATAGGCTGATTAATTGTTCGTGTCTAAATAAAGATTACAATACAATACAATACAATACAATTTTCTATCTATGTATTATAAAGACAGCAAATATTTAATGATACAACCTATATTTTATTTTTAACACTTTTTGGGAACCAGGGCCCGCGCTCCTCCTCCTCCTTGCGGAGGAACGAAAAAGAACGAACCCGAGAGAGCGGTGAAAATCAAGCCTATTATCCGGACTCGTTGGGACTGGACGAAAAAGTCCGAATAATCGAGGTTCCGGATAATCGAGAATATGAATATTGATAAGGAACAAAAACTGGTTAAATTGAGAAATCGACATTTGATCGTGAAACAAGACATTTACAAATTGTTTTGAAAAAAATTTGGTCAACACCCTTACTGTCCATTGTGAATAACCAATAGAGCGTGAAACCTCACTTAGCAACCAAGCAACTCTAAACCAATCAGATCTCATTCGAATGTTCTTCATTAGTTACGACGCAAGTGAGCGCTGCTTTTGCTTTCTGAAAGCGACCCAAACTCGCCTTCACTTCACTTTCCAACGCTGTAGTTTTAAAAAGAATAATGACAATTAAATATTAGTATTCATGATAACTTGAGACCAGAGAGAAAGTCCGGATAATCGAGAAATCCGGATAGTCGAGGTCCAAAAAATCGAGGTTTGAGTGTAAGGTACTTTACATGCGTGCCCTACAGAAAGTTACAAATTCTAGTCGTTAACAGCATGGTATTGTTTCAAAGACTGTTGCATGTGCTTACTTGACACATTTCCAGGGACTCGGGCCTCTTCGTCGTCAATGGCGGCGACGGGGTTTTCTAAGCCAATATCTTTTGAGTTTTTCTTCGTAACTTTCAATGCGATCAGTTTATTCCAAGGGATGCCCCAGAGGAAGAAGGCTAAATTGAATGCGACTATCAATGTCTGAAGCATAGCGGCAAGGTTGGTTGACAGAAGGGCAACACCGAAAGGGGTAGCCATCAAAACACTCGGAATTACCATGACAAGAACACCCAGCAACACGACGGTAACTCGAAATGCAAGCAGAATCTTGGATTTCTCATTATTAATCGTCAATAATGCGCTTGAACCCAAGCTAAAGGCCAACGTAGACAACTTGAATACTCCATAGCTTGCACCTGTGGCCACTCCAAAATTGAAAACGATTTTGTAGCAGTAGACGTGCTTGGCTCCGTTTTGAATGGCAGGGCTGTTACAGTCGACGGGATCTTGCTTCGGCCAACCCCAGAATTTGACCTCGAAGCAATCTTTGGAAGGGTCCGCTACATCGCAGTCACTACTCATTTCCAGCAGCAGGAGTTGCCAAAACAGTACAAACGTGCCAGCAAGCATCCCCGCAAACAACATCAAAGAAGTGGCCAAAATCCTGGATAATGTTCTCGCCTCACATGTAAGATCGATGTCGTTAAAAAGCCATCTTGGATGCTCGTCTTCCTTCTTCTTCTTTTCCTTCAGGGTATCGGAAAATACGTTTTTGGCAATCCAGCGCGCGATGTGAAACAGATCGCGAACTTTAACCAGGGTGACTATGTAACAAAGAGTGAGGATTAAAATCGGTGGCAATACAGCAACAAGACCGTACTCGTATTGCTTCATTGTTTCAGCTCAATTACTGTAAATTATGCACAACGGACTCCTCGATCATGCAATTCCAGACACTGGTTTGGTTTGATTATGAATATGACAAGCCAAACATGACAAGAATGGGTTGAATGTAAAGTTTTAAAAGTTACCTATCACGTCTCAGTAATCGATATGTGCAGGGTCGCAACGAGGCATGTGGATAACAAAATGATCCCAATAATGATAAAGTATTAACGTTTGTCCCACGATGTGGTCATCGTGATCCCAATTTTCATCCATATTTTGTGATGTATGATCCTAAAATCTCGGGAAAATTTTGATCATTGATCCCAAAAAACCCAATGATCCAGTCTGAAAAAAGCGATGTTGGCCATGGCCATCTACATGAAAACAGTTTTTTTTAACACTTTTTTTTTGTCTTTACGTCTGTTTCTGTCTCCACGCGCCACTGGAGAGCATGGACGTGATCTTCGACCAAACAAAAATAGTAGACCCCAAAAAAATTTAAATGAAGACACACAAGAATAAGATTGCTTTCATGGGACACAAAATATGGACTTCGTAATAACAACAAATAACATGAAACAATTGAAGGAGCGAACTCGTTACACTTCATGTTACCATCACATAACCGAGACAGCCCCTGAGGAAAATTTCTTATTACATGTCATCAAGAGTAATTTTTAATACAGTTGTCTGTTTTCGGTAACAAAATATGCCTGATGCACGAGGCAGTAATACAACCATAGTAACTATGATAGGATTCCATCTGGGAAAGTTTATTTAATGTTATTTTCCCTTCTCGGTAAACGTAATGAAGACAGTTTTAAAACGTATGTATCAATCATTCAGCCTAATGAAGCTTATGAAATAACCTTGTAATGCACTAACCGTATGTTCGAAAGTTGATCGGTTAAGTCGCAGAAATATCTGCTATTGTATTTGTTCCTCTACTAGTCTATCTGCTGGTATTCAGGTTCACTGCTTACTCTTCCAATGTGGCCTGGAGTTTTAGGATCTGTTTTCGTGTTTGATTTTTCGTTTCCTTCATTTATGTGTCGATGTTGTACACTTTTTTTTCTTTGCAATTACTAGGGATACAGTGTTAGCTTCGTCTAGGTCTAGGTTTTCGTCTTGGTTCTCTTTTGCCGTTTCATTCCCTTTTATTTGCTCCAAGAATCTCCCAGTCTTATACTTTAGTTCCTTTGCGACTCAATGGAAGGCAGCCGGATTCTTCGAGTTGATGAATGATTGCTCGCACGTTCAGCTCGAAGAACCGACTATAATCGACTTCTTATAACTCCACTTCATCTCCTTCCATTCCCATGAAAGATCCTTATTATTTGCAAGGAAAAGTTATGATCATCACCATCAACAAATGGTGCAATCATATGAGGGAGTAAATGTTGAACCAGGGTTCTTTGAGCTCTAAAAAGAGCCCCTGGTCCAAATTATAAAACATTTTCCTCGGTCATTTTCGTATTTGGGTTTATGCTTCTTTCTTTTCACGCGCAAGCCACAAGTTCTCTCTTAAATCTGCGCGTGATCGATCACCTTCCAGGTCATAGACTGTTAGTTACAGCTGCAGGTCACTACATTTCAAGAATGCAGTTTTCCTGCT